GTGAACATAAGCCTTCATCCATTGATCTACCATTATGCACCCCACCCCCACGTGCACACCAAGGCCAGGCTAATCTCAAACCTGTGGTCCTCCGGCTTCGGCCTCCCAAGTGTTAGGATTATGAGGTGTGTGCCACCACACCTGGCAACAAGCATTCTTTTGAGCCTCAGCATTGACATACGATGGCACCACTGGCAGAAATAAGGAAGCCAGAGACAGGAACTGGTCTAAGGAAGAACTGATAAAAGTTACCTTTGCTCAAATGCCTAGTATGTGTGCTTTAGCCACCTGAAATCTGTGCATATGGGAAAGCGGACATCCTTAGTCTCCATTAATTTTGTAGGAAAGTTGGAGTTCGTAACAGTGAACTAGCTTCCCCTGCAGTTTTATTGCCGACTGGAATTTGAACTTGGTTTGTCAAACTCCAAACCTGTAGCCTACTTCCCTGTTACACCAAGTGAGAAATTCGGGTTGGGTAGTTTCAGCCCCGTCTTCTCCACCTGGCCCTAACACTGGAATAACCGAGATTTGCTGAGTGCTTACCACCCAAACCCCCCACCCAGTGCGGATGGGGGAGCGGAATATTGTTAAAGCTCTCTGGGTCATTCCAACCCACAGCCACCCCTGAGAAGCCCTGATTTAGCCAGGATCTATTAAGTGGGGCAGCTGAGATGCTGATGGGTGAAGTAACAATCTTGTCAGAGTCCCAGCTAGTACATCTCCATGCCTACCCTGGGACTCCGTCCAATGGACTAGCCAAACAAAGTCATGTTGCAGGAAGAAGCAGAATGGGAGGGGGATGGAAGCGGGGTTACCAAGGGAAACTGTGGAGAGAGGCACTGAGAATTCAAGACAACATGAGGAGCAACACACGTTTAGGAGCTGCAAGATTCAGAGCAGCCGAAAAGCGGGCCAAGCCCAAATCGTGAAAATTAAGAACCCTCCACTCCTCTATAAAATCTCTGGCACTTAGCCCACAGGACACAGCAGCTGATGGGAGACTACGCTGGTCAAGAAAAGTGGTGTGGGTCTAATGGACAAGAAAGTTTACAAACCAAGTACAGAAGTCACTCTGGGGCTGAGCAAGGGGATAACGGCAGGAGACTTTGCTTCATACAGCCTAATCAAAGTAGGAGGAGAGCAAAGAGCCGCCGTTAGAAACCCACACTTTGAGATTTTATTCCTAAGACTGGGATTGTTTCCAGCTAACAAGATGAACTAGACCAACTGTATGGGAACAGATGAAACAAGTGTTTGAAGAAGAAGAAGAGAATCTCCTCTAGGGACCTCAGGGCATCAGCTCTTGCATAACCAAGTTGAGGAGCTGGGTCTGCAAACATCTTCTCCAATAGAAACCTCAGATAGAAACTGAGAAGGGTCCCATGCCCCACTTCTCCACTCCCTTCATAGCCTGTCATGAGTATTGTTTTAAAGTGTATTTTTCCTGTTTAAATGTTTGAGATAAAAAAAAAACTATCAAGAATTTGTTGAGCTTAAATGGTAGCAAAATCTCTCTAAGATTATAAAGGCCTAGAGTTCTATAAAAATGTGTGGTCAAAGGAGTCAGAAGATGTGGGGCATTCCAAGCTTTCCGTGACTATAACAAAATACCTGGGGCAGCATGTTTTATAAAAACACCAGATCACCAAAGAAATAAGTGCTCAGTCCAAGAACTAATGAGGTAATGATTGCTCCTGTTTCAAGCTGATGGGAAGGATTGTGATACCACAATCAGTTGCTGAGAAGTTCTGCTTGCTTTGGCCTTAACACCAGCATTGACTAACGTCAACAGTAGAGAAGAGGAGGAAGATGAGGAAGAGGAAAGGAAGATAGTTCCAAAAACCATGAAAGGTCCTTTAACTCAGGCTGTATACCCAGCAGATATTAAACCCACAGCTGGAACAACCAGGAGGGGCCCAAGACAGCAGCTACCTCCCTGGCTTCAGTCTGACCACACCCTCCTCACTCCAGCCAGACTATGGTGAGTGGACCCCAGGTGCCCAGACT